TTAAGACGTTACCCCCAACAGTGATATAAGATGAAAAGAGCAGAGAGAAATTTTTTTTATACTCTTGTTGAAGAAATGATACCTATAATTTTTGTAAAACTTTAAATATCTTATACCTTTTCAGATTATGGCATAGTAAGTTTTCGAATTTTTCTGTTTCTGTTATCTTTTAATAGTAATTATTTTTGAAAATATCTTCATTGGTTGGATATTTCGTATCCTTATTCTTTATAATTTAAAAATATAAACAATTAGTACATTAAATAATAGCTAAAAGTTAAAAAGATAATTTATTCAAATTATTTCTACTTATAATCCAAGCAAACTGACTGGAAATTATAAAAAAAAACATAAATTACCAATAAGTTTTAATAATTTATTTAATGATTTGATTCTTATTGACCTTGAAAAAAGTAGTAAAATTCAAATATCAGTTAGTAATTGTCAAAAAAAGAACTAAAAACATTCAATTCTAAGAATTTCAATTGGTAGAAATTTCAAGGCTTCACTGCTGATTATCAGGCATTTTATTATAAAGTAGAAATTCTGGTTGCTCATTAAATGGCGTTAGTTTTAGCTTTATGCAATGTTGGGCGATCAATCGATATATCACGAAATATCGATATTTTTACAAATCGTGTTAACCATATTTGAAATAATATTCTTAGGAAATATTATGAATACCATGTCTTACGGTAAATATCGAGTATAAAATAATTAAAAGCAATAATATAGATGTTATTGTTAAAAACGATAATTATCAAAACCACACTTTCTTGATCATTAACATCAGTGACATTTATTAAACAAGATATTATACAATCATGAGTGTCTAGGTTTGCTTTAACGGAAAATATTATGTTATATTTTTAAAATTCTGATTAATAAAAACGTTTAAGAAAAAATTATTTTAGTTAAAATGTTAGAAGAAAAAAAAACAATGTAATAAAATAAAAATAATGTAAAGTAATGAAATACAGTTGGAAAAAAACCACCATAATGTATTGGGAAGCATCTATTGTTTTACTAAGCGTTGAACCAATAGTTCTGAGAGTGTGGTTTTACAAAACTTTCCAACTGCTCCATTCAAATTGAACAATATTGAATTATCAAGATTTGAAGCGGTACAATACGGTTTAACGAAAATCATATTAACGATATTATCATTCAGCGAGCTCTAAATTAACCATATTATCATTCAACGAGTTCTTTATTAACCATATTATCATTCAACGAGTTCCATATTAACCATATTATCATTCAACGAGTTCTTTATTAACCACATTATCATTCAACGAGTTCTATATCAACCATATTATGATTCAATGAGTTCTATATTAACCATATTATCATTTAGCGAGTTCTATATTAACCATATTATCATTCAACCAGTTTCTGATATCGATATTATCATTCAATGAGTTCTACATTAATGATATTATCATTCAATGAGTTCTACATTAACGGTATTATAATTTAACGAGTTTCTGATATCGATATTATCATACAACGAGTTCCACATTAACGTTGCTATCATTCAAAAAACGTTACATTGTAGCGATGTTATCATTCAAGGAGTTCCATATTAACGATGTTATCATTCAACAAGCTCCAAATTTTTGAATGGTCTCAATACTCCATCCTGAAAACATGGATTTTGAATCGAAATTTTCTTATGATGGCACATATATTTCTATTCTTATTCCTTTAGTATAAAATGAGAAGGATTAAAAATCCTTACATAACTGATCGGATCTACACTAAACTGGATGCATAGCTATCAATCAATCTTCAGGAAGAGTTATTTTTCATTCAGATAACATCCTGGAATGCAGACATTTAAGACGTTACCCCCAACAGTGAAGCAAAAGAATGCGGCCAACCGGCCTTTAAAATTCACAAAAGTGACCAAAATTGCTTTTGAAATCGAAGCAGAATTAACTTTGCGCTGTACTGAAACTGAAATTAGGCATCAAAGTGCGTAAAATAGTTCCTGAAAATCGAAATAGCAAAATGTAGAACAATATACTATCTGTTTTTGATTGCATAATACAATTAAATATGTATATTTTTTTCGCAAATAGAGACTAGGAAAAAACAAGTAAGTATTGAAAAACAAATAAAAATCTTAATAATACAAACGCTACGAGACGACTGTGCCACTCTCGACATTTTTGAAAAAGAGTATGGATTGGAAATCAATATACATTGTTTCATAGCTGGTTTTCTATTAATTCATGAAAAATCTTAATTTAAAATCAATAAAAAAAATGTAAAATATTTTATTACAGTAAGGAAAGTTGAAGTCGAAATAAGTTTTATTTACAAATTTCAATTAATGTTTTATTGATATATATTTAAAAAAGTTTCATTTATATTTTAGATCCTTATGAAATTTAGCTAATTCTTCGAAATAATAATACCATACCTATGTATTTTATATTTACTTAGTATAAACTTAGTAATTTATGAATAAAAAAAATAAAAAAATAATTTTTGTAATTTAACCTTTTATATATCGAGCCGAATTGGATAATACTTTTTACGGTAATAAAATGTTATAAACTAATTCAAATAAGCGTATTGTAAGTTATTTATTAACGTAAACTTGATGTTCACGTTTCTTGATGTAAAGTTTTCTTGATGTAAAGTTTTCTTGATGGCATTTGATAAAAAAAAAACAGGCGCTATTCCGTGTAATTTTCCGCTTTTAGGAAAAGGAGAAATAGAGGTTGCGATAGCTACTTGAATTAATTATATTGGCTTGATTTAAATGGATATAAAATAAAGTTATTTATTTTCATTCTCTAAAAAAGGGTTGGTTAGAACATTTTGATTTAAAAAAGTTGAAAAATTTATCTTCATTTTTAATAACTTTAAGATAAAGGTGAGAATATAGTTTAAAAAGTTAACTATATCAATAAGTGCAAAAACAATTGCATTTTAATGCAACTTAAACTAACGTTAAACTTAAAACTCTATTAGTAGTGGAAAAAATAAAGAATATAAACAACGGAAAACTTTTCTAAAAACATTCCCATTTAAAAGTAGTAAATTGATTTTAAATAATAGTGTGAAAACAATTATTTAAGATTAAGTTAATTGATAAATCGGAATTTATTCAATTGCTTTCTTTTAACCGTTTCTGAAAATTACGTATTCTTATTTCAAAACTTATCCAAATTTAAAAAAAATACTCAAAAATTACCTTTACATTCGAACTATTCTGTGTATTGAGAATTGTTTAGAACAAATTCAGATTTGCCTTAATAATTCAAAATAGCACCCATTGGACAAAACATTTTGATTCCTGTCCTAAATTTTTACTAGCGTACAATAACAATTAATATATTAATGGCGAACATGATTTAAAACTTGTTATCAGATATAAGTTGGAAGGTTGTTACTTTTGAAGTTGGAGAGGGGGGAAAGTGGAGAGATGTTTAAGTTTATTACTTTTTAAAAATCAAATGGAAAATATGCACTTTATTATTCAGAAATTCCTAGTTTTTGGAACAAACGACTTAGGTTCAAATTCCAGTTATAACTGTGAGATTATTTTCTTTTTTAATTAGCAAATTCTCAATCTAAAATAAACATATTCATTATTTTCCTGCAAAGCAGGATTTAATGTGTTTATTCCCTGCTTCAAACTAACAGAATTCATTATACGTCGAATTTTAAATCGCAATTTAAAATAAGATTTATGATATTCAATATGATAAAAAAGGAATTTCGCTGGAAAATTTTACTCAATTATTAAAGGAAATACTTTATTAATTCAGTTGTTTTTTTCGAAGGAAAAAAGTAAGCAGCAGATTTACCCTTTTAGTACTCAACTTACGCTGAAAAATTGCGCAAAGCCATTGTTAACCTTAGGACAAAATATTTGTGTTCCACTTTGTTTTCACGACATCATCGCGAATGATCATCAAGTATTTATGATTTAAAAGTTCTGGGTGTCATCTCTGAGTTTGAACGAGAGCAATTACTAAGCTACTTGCCTCTACCCTACTTTACTTT